CGGAGAAGTGGTGCCTCGATGCGCACCCGGGATCCGAACCCGGGCCACCAGCATCGCAGCGCGCGCACTTAACCACCAAGCCACGGGGCTGGCCCTGTAATGATGTTTTTAGGTGGAGTGATTGGGAGAGGCAAATGGCATTAAGTAGGCCCAGGTCAAGAATTTTAGAGTTCCTGCACTACTCTAGAAAGAATTATCCCATGTCCCACATGATTTGTGAATGCCCTACTAGACATACATGTAGGTGAAAATCCTTTTTATAATTATTTGAGTTTGGAACCTAATTATATAAAAACACAAAGTATTTTTCACATGGCGTAACTCATGCTGAATTTTCCATGATGCAACCACTGAGCAGATTGAGAGAGTATTATACTTTTCTTTGTTCAAAGCTTTATTGAACACCATTGTTCACCATTTTAGATTACTTACCTAGGGCACTGTCATACATGGGATAAGAGCTGCCATGACACAACACACTTGCATTAGTCTGCATTTATAGCTGTCATTCATTTGTGTCTGTGTGTGTTACATATGTGTGTGTGTATGTACACTTTATTTCAAAACGTGAAATATAAAGAACAAGTTGATAATATTTAGCTGGATATTTCAAATTGGGTTTTATATTTTTGTCCACAATTGAATAGTTACCAATGTACCTATGAAGCCCGAGACATTTTTTCTAATGAAGCAAACAGACTGTAAAATGGGTAAACATTTTACAAAGAAATAGTAATATTTGACACTAATGTTCACTGAACACTCTGCTCTTCCATTTCCCCACGCTTTTCATGTGGAATAGTTTCTGATCTTCTTGAAGTTATTAAATACAAACTTATTTTTATAAGCATCTATTATATTTGACTACGGCATTATGTTTTCTATCGTAGTTGTACTTAAGTTGTAGACAAATTGAAACACTTTATTACAAATTACTTTCCTTTCATGTCTCCCTTATATTAGTGAGGAAATTGTATTGATATAAAAAAATTGTGTGTGTAGGGAAGTTACATTCTCTACAAATTTTATTTCAGGAAAGAAAAGGGGATGTTACATAATATTAGTCATAAGAAGAGACTAGTAGGACCTACAGGGTTGAAAACCACCCTAGTCACACTAGTCTCCTTTCCTATTCTTAAGTTAAAAATCACTCAGCACATTAAGTTTCTGTTCTTTGTATGGAGTAATTAAAAGTCTGGGTTTCTAGCTGTGTAACCTTGGTGAAGTTATTATATTTCTCTGGCCTACTGTTTCCTCATCTGTAAAATAGGGATAATAATATACATTCATAGAGTTGATGTCAAGATTAAATGAATTACTATACATATAGTTTCTACAAGAATGCTTGATACATAATAATTATTCAATAAGTATGAGGTATTATTTTTATTTGTTGTTATTATATTCTAGGCCCATAATGTTCTTTCTCTGCTTTCTTACTAAAAAAATACCAATCATCTGAATGACAATATTGATCAATGGAAAAAGATGTGGGAAATGCAGATATGGCTTCTCTTTCTAGAGAGATGAGAACTTTAGAAAAACATACAATTGATGAAAGAGTGATGTACATTTATGATCAGTAGGGAAACCTGCACTGGACAAGTGAAACAGTTAGGAAATTATAAGGGGAGGGGGGCAACATCATCCTTTAATGCCAAGTTTACCTACTATCAGTACTTTCATGTATTCTTCCCTGATCTCCCCAGTTACAACTAATCATTCTTTCTATAATTCTTTCTCCTTACCTATCACTTGTACAACAACTCCAGCTTATACAATAGTTATATCTATATCTGTTCCTCCAACTTGGCCATAAACTTCAAGGGTAAGGATCATACTGAGGACTAATTAAGTCTCCCATAAAGCCCGGTAAATGTCAAAAATATATGTACATTTATTATTGGGTCCTAGCTATGCTGCCATTTTTAATCAATGAGACCTTGGACAACTCCTCTACCTTCTCTAAGCCTCATTTCCTCACGTTAAAAATGAATATTAATAGCTGCATTCCTTATTACACGACAGTATGTGAGAAACAGGAAATAATGTAAGGGACTATGTTTTGAAAATAGTAACAATACATAAACGTACAGTGATATTACTGCTAATAAATCAAAGATTATTTTTCTACAAATATGTTAAAATTCATTATATTGTTTAAGTGATTTCATCATATCTAGGAATAAATTTTTAAAAAGAAAAGAATTTCTCTCCAATTTTAATGAAAACCAGAGAGAAAATTAATCCAAATAAGAAATGTTTACATTATATTAATCTTTGATGAAATACATCCATTTGAATAAGTAAAGGAAGCTTCCATAGAAGTCAGCTAATGTCTGACAAAAATCAACAAACTGGAATACTGGGCTAGGTAAACTCTTCTTCCCAATCTAGTTATTTACTTCACTGATGATTTCTTTACACTTATTTGGCACTTCAAGCACATTAAACAAAGTTTCTTAGCCTGCCAAAATGATAGACTATGCTTCTGTGCATTCTTTTTATCACCATGGCTATTTTCAGAGTGTGTGTGTGTGTGTATATGCATGTGCGTATATTAATGTCTTTGTGATGTCTTAAGAACCTCCAGTAAGGACAGGAGGGACCTTACAAGATGGTGGCACAGGCAGACTCTGAACTGCAACTAAGAACCGCACTTTGTATGGTTCCTGATCCCACACCTGGTGGTCCAGACTTTAAATTGTTCTAGTACAATGCTGTTTGTGCCTGTGTCTGGTGCTATTTGTTTAAATAAACTGGTATCAAGGGGAGAAGTCAAGATGGCGGTGTAGGCGGACTCTGAACTCACATCCTCCCACGGACGCAACAGATTTACAACTACTCTTGGAACAATTACCCTTGAGAGACAACTGAAAACTGGATAAGAGGACCCCCTGCAACAAAAGACAGTCCTAACTGAGGTGGAAGACGGAGAAATCCCTTCTGAGGAGAAAAAGCGCCACCTTCACAAGCTGCAGTGATTCATGGCCACCCAGGAGCAATCCAAAGGTACGCAGACCTCCCTGGAGGAGCCAGTGAGCATTGCTGCTATAAGCATTTTTTTGGGCCCAGCACAACTGAGATGAGTGTCATAACATCTGGCTTTGCTGGCTCCTAACAACAACGGGGAATACTCCCAGAAAAGCTGGAACAAAAAGAAATTAAAGCTGGCTCTTAAAGGGCGCATGTGCAAATTCACCCATTTCAGAAAGCAACCTAAAATCACCAGAAAGAAAGATGCACTGTCCTCTGGTAAAAAGAGACTCACCTGAGGGGCTCTGGGTGTATCTCAGTGAGAGCTGAGACCTCTCCAGGGACTGGCACATTGACAGCGGCCATTGTTGTGACCTGGTGTGGGCGTGCTGACACAGACACTGGCAGACTCCACTGGAGTTCTCCCTCTGGCTGGGTAGCCCAGGGTCTGCCCCATCCACTAGAGCACCCATTTAATCCAGCTCAGCCAAGGACAGCAGCCCACCCTAGGGACAGGTCCCACCCAACAATAAGCCCTCAGGCAAACTGTGCGCCTGGATTCTCTGTGGGGATTCCACCTCTGTGGGGCAGGGCACGCATGAGGAGCAGATGCAGTTTGTGGGGCATTGATGGAGTAGGTGGGGCCTCGGCCATGGGGCAACTGGGTCCACTTCAGGGGATCGGGGTGCATCCACAGGGCAGGATTGTGTTGACTGTGTGTGTGGCCTTGTGGGTGGTGGGGCTTGCCAGCTGCAGAAGACTTGTGCTTCTCAAACAGCCACATAGGGGATTGGCCCCCCCTTCCAAAGCCTGAAACAACTGGGTGCTCCCATGCCTGGGGCCATCCCTACCCAGCTACAATCCTCAGAGAGCTGACAAGAGCCTTATAGACAGGAGGCCTATAGCAACTGTAAGACCCTGAGACTAACAACAAGCCACACTGGGGGCCTACTCACTTAAGAGAAAAACTGCAACAGGAATGTGCTATTAGACCTTGCAGCCAACTGTGCTGGGGTTCCCCACACCCGATAAAGAGACTGAAGGGCCCACAAGAACCACACACAGCTGACCACTACAACCAGCCAGCCAGGGGGACAGCTCAGCCTTCTTGGGCACCTATGGCAAGAGCAACCATGCCACAACAGAAGGGTACATGTAGCACACAGGGGTCACTCCTGGAATATTTGGAACTGGTGATGAGAGGGAAGCACACTGCCAGGCCTTATAAGACATCGCTTACATCAGGTCATCTCTCCAAGATCAGGAGATGTAGCTGACCTACCTAATACATAGATACAAGCACAGGGAAAGAGGCAAAATGAGAAGGCAAAGGAATATGTTCCAAGGAAGGGAACAGGACAAAACCCCAGAAAAGGAACTAAATGAAACAGAAATGAGCAATCAACCTGACAGAGAGTTCAAAGAAAGAGTCATAAGGATGCTCAGTGATCTTGGGAGAAGAATGGATGAACTCAGTGAGAACGTCAACAAAGAAATGGAAGATATAAAAAAGAACCAATCAGAAATGAAGAATACAATACTGGAAATGAAAAATTCACTAGAGGGACTCAAAAGCAGAGTAGAGGATACAGAAGAATGGATCAGCGAACTGGACGAAATCACCCAAGCTGAACAGATAAAAGAAAAAGGAATTAGAAAGAATGAGGACAGTCTAAGGGACCTTTGGGACAATATACAGCACACTAACATCTGTGTAATAGGTGTCCCAGAGGGAGAAGACAGAGACAAAGGGGCAGAGAATCTATTCAAAAAAATAATAGCAGAAAACTTTCCTAACCTAAAGAAGGAAACAGACATCCAGGTACAGGAAGGACAGACAGCACCAAACAAGATAAACCCAAGAGGCCCACACCAAGACACATCATAATTAACATGTCCAGAATTAAAGAGAGAATCCTAAAAGCCGCAAGAGAAACACAACAAGTTACATACAAAGGTAACTCCATAAGGCTATCAGCTGACTTCTCAGCAGAAACCTTACAGGCTAGAAGAGAGTGGCACGATATGTTTAAAGTGCTAAAAGGAAAAGACCTACGGCCAAGAATACTCTACGTGGCAAGGTTGTTATTCAGAATGGAAGGAGAGATAAAGAGTTTCCTAGACAAGGAAAAATTAAAGGAGTTTATCACCAAGAAACCAGTCCTCCAAGAAATGCTAAAGGGACTTATTTAAGGGGGAAAGAGAAGACCACAAATGGGAAACAAATATCTATTTCCATGGTAAGAGGGAAATGGATACAAACATACAAAAAAGAGGTTAGATATGATATCAAAAACATCAAATGTGGGAGGAGGGGAGTGAAAGAGTAGAGCTTTTAGAAAGAGGTCAAACTAAAGAGATCATGAACTTAATACAGATTGCTATATACATAGGTTATTATATATGAACCTCATGGTAATCACAAACCAGAAACCTATAATAAATACACAAAAAACTAAGAGAGAGGAACCCAAACATAATACTAAAGCAAGCCATCAAACCACAAAGGAAGAGAGCAAGAGAAGAGGAAAGGAACAGAGAAGAACTACTAAAACACCCGGAAAAAAAGTTAAAAAAGTGGCAGTAAGGGCATACTTATTAATAGCTACTTTAAATGTCAATGGACAATTAAAAGGCATAGGGTGGCTGACTGGATAAAAAAATAAGACCCATATATATGCTGCATACAAGAGACACACTTCAGACCTAAAGACACTCACAAACTGAAAGTGAAGCGATGGAAAAAGATACTCCATGCAAATGGCAATGAAAAGAAAGCTGGGGTAGCAGTACTCACATGAGACAAAATAGGCTTTAAAACAAAAACTGTAACAAGCGACAAAGAAAGGCACTACATAATGATCAAGGGAAGAATTCAACAAGAGGATATAACACCTGTAAATATCTATGCACCCAACATAGCAGCACCGAAATATATAAAGCAATTATTAACAGACATAAAAGGAGAAATAGACAGTAACACAATAATAGTAGGAGACTTCAACATTCCACTTACACCAATGGATAGATCATCCACACAGAAGATCAATAAGGAAACATTGGCCTTAAACGACACATTAGAACAGATGGACTTAGTAGAAATATACAGAACGTTCCATCCAAAAACCAAAGAATACACATTCTTTTCAAATGCACATGGAACATTCTCCAGGATTGATCACACATTAGGCCACAAAACAAGTCTCCATAAATTTAAGAAGACTGAAATAATATCAAGCATCTTTTCTGACCACAACAGTATGAAACTAGAAATCAACTATAGGAAGAAAATCAGAAAAGCCACAAATACGTGGAGATTAAACAAAATGCTACTGAACAACGACTGGGTCAAGGAAGAAATCAAAGGAGAAATAAAAAAATACCTGGAGACAAATGAAAATGAAAATACGACATGCCAGAATTTATGGGATATAGCAAAAGCAGTTCTAAGAGGGAAGTTTATAGCAATGCAGGCATATCTCAACAAATAAGAAAAATCTCAAATAAACAATCTAACAGTGCACCTAAAGGAATTGGAAAATGAAGAACAAACAAAACCCAAAATCAATAGAACAAGGCAAATAATAAAAATCAGAGCAGAAATAAATAAAATAGAGATAAAAAAAAAATAGAAAAAAATCAATGACACCAAGAGCTGGTTCTTTGAAAACATAAACAAAATTGGCAATCCTTAGCTAGACTCATGAAGAAAAAAAGAGAGAAGGCTCAAATAAGTAAAATCAGAAATGAAAGAGGAGAAATTACAATGGACACCTCAGAAATACTAAAGGTTATAAAAGAATACTATGAAAAGCTATATGCCAACCAATTCGACAATCTGGAAGAAATGGATAAATTCTTAGAATCATACAATGTTCCAAAACTGAATCAAGAAGAGATAGAGAATTTGAATAAACCAATCACCAGTAAGGAGATTGAAACAGTAATCAAAAACCTCCTCAAAAAATAAAACTCCAGGACTGTACGGCTTCCCTGGTGAATTCTACCAAACATTCAAAGACTTAACGTCTATCCTTCTGAAACCCTTCCAAAATATTGAAGAGGAAGGGAAGCTTCCTAACTCATTCTATGAAGCCAACATTACCCTGATACCAAAACCAAAGACAACATAAAAAAAGAAAATTACAGGCAAATATCACTGATGTACATCGATGCAAAAATCCTCAACAAAACACTAGCAAATCGCATACAACAATCCATAAATAAGATCATACACCATGATCAAGTGGGATTTATTCCAGGGATGCAGGGATGGTTCATCATCAGCAAATCAATCAATGTGACACACCACATTAATAAAATGAGGAATAAAAAGCACATGATCATCTCAATAGATGCAGAGAAAGCATTTAATAAGATACAGCATCCATTTATGATAAAAACTCTGAATAAAATGGGTATAGAAGGAAACTACCTCAAATAATAAAGGTCATATATGACAGACCCGCAGCTAATATCATCCCCAATGTTGAAAAGCTGAAAGCTATCCCTCTAAGCACAGGAACCAGACAAGGATGCCCACTGTCACCACTCCTATTTAACATAGTACTGGAAGTCCTAGCCAGAGCAATCAGGCAAGAAAAAGAAATAAACGGGATCTGAACTGGAAAGGAAGAAGTGAAACTGTCACTATTTGCAGATGACATGATTTTATATATAGAAAACCCTAAAGAATCCACCAAAATCTTTTAGAAACAATCAATGAATACAGCAAAGTTGCAGGATACGAAATCAACATGGAAAAATCAGTTGCATTTCTATACACTAACAATGAAGTAGCAGAAAGAGAAATTAAGAACACAATCCCATTTACAATTGCAACAAAAAGAATAAAATACCTAGGAATAAACTTAACCAAAGAGGTGAAAGACCTGTACACTGAAAACTATAAAACATTGTTGAAAGAAATTGAAGAAGACACAAAGAAATGGAAAGATATCGCTTGCTCTTGGATTGGAAGAATTAACATAGTTAAAATGTCCAAACTTCCTAAAGCAATCTATATTCATTGCAATCTCTATCAAACTTCCAACAATATTTTTCACAGAAATAGAACAAAGAATCCTAAAATTTATATGGAACAACAAAAGAGCCCAAATAGCCAAAGGAATCCTAAGAAAAAAGAATTAAACTGGAAGTATCACACTCCCTGGTTTCAAAATATAATAGAAAGCTATAGTAATCAAAACAGCATGGTACTGGCACAAAAACAGACACATAGATGAGTGTAATACTTTTTTGCCACATGCAAAAAAATGAAAGTAGACCCTTACCTTACACCAAACACAAAAATCAACTCAAAATGGATTGAAGACTTGAATGTAAGGCCTGAAACCATGAAACTT